GGTTTTCTATCAGGTACAATGGCTTAACCGCTTTCTGGGTGAGTGCGTGGGTTAGCGGCCAACAGATGAACTTTTGTCGCAACGTCCATTCGTTCGGGGGAAATTTTTGTCTTTCACACGTCTCTTTTCAATCTAATGAAACAAAATTTATTTGGATACATATTGCGGCTATTCCGTTATTGATATTGATGCACAGTTGGAGAGCTGATTGGAGTCACAAGTCGCTCTCACGATTGATTTATAGATCCTATATTTCGCTGTACTGAATATTTGATCGTATACGATTTTCTGCACGGGGTCTCTCGTCCCAGCTCATCGTCTTATGTCCTGTTCCGCCCTCCAGCCGCGCAATCGTCTCTCTATACAGGCTCCACCACTGCTGTCCGATTTTTGTGTCGTTTCGCGATAGCTTTTGTATATGAGCCTATCCGTTTGTTTCCCAGGGTGACGCCCCCACGGGCGGAAGGATATGAGAAACGCAGAAGGCAAGATAGCTACTGACCGGTTTTTTTTGTCACCCAACAGTTTCGTGATTCGACCAGTCTGGCTGAATTCCTGTTCGCATCAGAGAATTCAGTGTCCACCTACTCCACGTTTATGCGTTGTGTGTGACACACATTGCGCTTCATATCATTTGTTACACGCCCGTATCCTATCTCTAATCCCTTTCTCCAACTCACAGCAGTCACTATCCAGTACAAAGAACGGAAAAAATCTATCCCATATAGTGGTGGTGGCGCAATGGTTTGGTCGCTGTCACCGGCGTGCTTTGGACCCCGTGGTCCGAGATTCAAGCCCTGCCACCGCCACCCGACTTTGATGGTAGGCAGCTCTGCTGTCGTCCGGTTCAATACCACGCCTAGCCTATCGGGGCCTAATGTGATTCGCCACTCCAAGTCCCGGGGCTTAGGTTGACGGTTTCCACCACTGAAACAGCAGGTCCTTGTGACTATGTGGATTACCCCGTCTACTGTTCATCACACTTAGGTGTGTAATAAAAAACAGTATTCGCATAATCCTGACTGTCAGGGTTTGACAATCTCACCCACCTCCGAACCGTATTGTTTCACTAGGAAGATGTATTTAAACATATCTCAGGAAGACAGTGACGGGGAACATAAAGTGAATCTCGATCTGTCGGAAACAATAGTATTGAGTCGTTTGCAACTCGGTTGAATGATTGCTCTCTCCCCCCCTCCATACATGCATGCGGGTACAAGTTCGGATGGTTTAAAGGTGAATTCCATTGTTCCCATCTCTTTCGCCATCTGTGAATGTGTGACTTATCTTTACTAAAGTGAGTCTACACAACTCCGACAATCGGTCTTCCTTCTTGTCAGAGTCCTAGACCAGACTGGTTGCTTTCGCACTGAAATATCAAGGATAGTTCGGATTCATGATAAGCCTGTACTGCAGTTGTCTGCGCCGCATTGCACGAGTCTGGTGAGGAAACCGGACGAGCGATGTTGAGGTTAGGTGCAGAGTTTCAGGTAAACGCGGTCGTCCACTGGAGCAAGTAGTCCGCCTCCATAGATTACGCTGGTTGGGATGTGTGCTGCGCATCTCCCCAGATAGGCGACTGATGTTCGCCGAGGCAGGTAGTGGGTAGAAGAAAGTCAAAGGTGGTTAAGCTAAGACCTGGGATAAGGATATGAAAATCCTAACCAGGACACTGGGTCCCATTAGGCTCCCTGGATGGGGACCCCTAGATCATGGTAATGGGTAGTTAGACATTGAGTGATATTGCTGGGTGTCGTAAACAGTGACACTCATGCATCTGCTCATTGTTCTTTCAACCTCAGTTCATATGAGCTCTCTTTCTTCCTAATGTTCATCCAAATGGGCAGCGGAAAGACAGCAACCAAAACCGGCGCACGAAAGTGCATGGTTAGTGGTCGTACAAACTGAAACTAAACTATTGTCAGACCGGATAAATTCACTGAATTAATCCAAGTCTACCGTGTCACAACTTCAGTGGTCGTTGGTGTTGGGTTTTTGTAGCGCGGTGTTTGTGCGTGTGTGTGTGTGTGTATGTGTGATTGGTTTGTTTGTTTAGTGCATTTCACTAATAGAAAATGGAATCCAATTAAATGGTTTGCGAGAGGGAATTGGTCAACGTTAGGCAAATGAGGATTTCAGACGATCAGGTCTCAGGAAAATATTACCAGTCTATCGACAACAGCGTAACGGAATGGTGATGAAGGATTATCAGCACTGATTACTGCATTTTCTGGTTTTATCGATTTTTGTACACATCAATTTCAGCAACATCGGCAAAATGCATCGCTTCTTCGTGCTTGCTTTCCTTGATTTTTATTTTGGGGCGGGTGGGGGAGGGTCTATCTATCTTTATTTTCTCAGTTTGCACATTACAGTTGTCAGCTAATTGATAACCAAATGAGAATTTACTTGAAATTAGAGTTCACCTAGGTTTGGTTCTAACAACAGTTGTCTGGTTTTTGCGGAGGATAGTCGGTATGTTAGAGTGATGCATTTCCTGTCATGATTTACTTTAATGCTCTCGCTGACGGCACAGGGGAGAATTCGACTGATACGGTGATGTGAGCACTTTGTTATTTGAATTTCGAAGCTTTTTTCCTGACACATCCAATAATTCCCCTCCTCCCCTGTTCGGATCCATTAGCTACTCGCTGCTATGGTGGTGGTAATGATGCAGGGATTTAGTCGCTCTCACCTGCATGCTTTGGTCCGAGGTTCGAGACCCAGCACCCCACTTTGGTTGTAGGCATTTTTTAATGTCGTCCGGTTCAATACCATGCCTAATACTTTATGCAGTTCGCCACTTCAAGTCCCAGGGCTTAAGTTAACGGTTTTCAGGTCTTTGTGACTATGAGATGCATTCCGTCCTTTATTCCTCACACAAGTGTGTGTATTGAAGCAGACTTTCAGTTCCAACTCTCCAATCACCGATATCCCCAACTCATNGGCCAACGTAGTGTGTTTCAGTCTCAGAGAGCTCTAAACGAATTTGTATGGATGCAGTACATCACACAGCATCATATGGATATAAAAATGATTACAATACAAAATGGTAATGTTGCGTGTGGGTGTTGTTCTGATCATCGTTCTCAGCATCTTGTACCACTGTGCCAGGTATCACACAATCTGTACAACCTGTAAGGGGATAGGAATGGGTGGTTGGACACAGTTATCTAACATTCCATTATTTGGTTTTCACACTTTTGACATGGCCCATTGCTCGATATCTCTAGGTAACTGAAAGATTACTCTTCCGATAGAGACCCAAATAGAAGGAAAGGAATCCGACTTCTTCCCCCCAAAATGAAGTCTTATTTCATTAAATTCTGCCAGTTGTGTGCGATTGAAGGTACGGAATTTCTTTGAAAGCTACGGGACCGGTTTCGCGATACTCTTAGGACCGTATCCTCTACAGTCCTCTCATTTCCATTTTACTGATTAGCTTCTCTAGCTCTCTCAGGCTTGCCTCGAAGAATTGTCAGAAGTTTGATGATGATATTCTGTGAGTGGGGCGGTTCTGATCTGATGATTAATAGTGCACTGAGACAATAATTGCTGCAAGATATTCTTTGTTCACTTTGACGGTTATGTGGCTAGCTCCTGCATGCTAGGGATAGCTCAGCTTCTCCGATCATTTCTGTCTACGCTTGTTGTCGATTTGCGGCAAGCTCTACGCAGACTGATACACAATTCCTGTTCCATAACCGATGTCTGGAACGCCCAATTGCGCTACACCCACCGTGAGCGCATTAACCTAAGCCTCAAGCTGATCATCTAGGCAGCTGCGCCAACCCGGCAACGTGTTGTTGGTAGAAAGTATTGTTTCCAAATTGAGCTCACCAGTAGAAGACCGTCGCGTAGTAGTTTTTTTTTACAATCGATGCTTACGTTATCTGGCCCAGGTGAGATGGAGTGCGCGGGTTAGTAACTTAAAAGTAAGCCGTCGGGTGTTTTGAAATGCATCGAACTTGCAATCGCATCGTATTCAGCTCAAAGTCTTCCGTTGGTTAGGACGCGATTTGCATATGTCTAACGGTCGCCTATCGCACAGCGCCTTAATCTCAGTTGTGGCTCCAGGTCGGAGAAAACCAGATGGAGGTCAACAGATGACGTGCAGGCGAGGCAAGAAGAAACGCATAAAGCGGTCAGGTAGAGTAGGTGCCTCGTCTTCCGGATTTGGGTCTAAAATACGCTGTAGGTCATGACAGAAAACCGACAGCAGTGGCGATCTAGCTGTTACTTCTTAGCAGATCTGAATGCTTGAAATAGTGTGTATGCGCATTTGGACTGTGTGTTGACCGTCGAGGTTCGCTTTCTTTTCCCGTCTCTAAAAGTGAGTCCAATCCCTGTCCTCGTTACACACTCACCTTGTATGCATTATGAGTTTAAGAGCGATCAGTGAAGTAAGCTTCTCTGTATCACCCTGTACAACGATGCATGATGATGATGACGTCCGCAGGTTCTCAGAGAACATGACCTTACTACTGGAGGTGACGGTGCCACACACGTTAACATGTCGTTTAGTCAATTCAATCGCATCTAAATGAACGTGTGAGTTCACACAGCACTCTGTTAATAACTACAATGAACGAAGATACGGATTGGGAGGGGGGATTTGTACCGAAGGACGGACTGTTTTCATAACTGGTAATCGAAGAGTCCGTGTGTGCTGTTGTCTTTTGGGGCACAGACGACTCTAACATTGCCCCACATCACACGAACAGCTTCGAATTACCATCGTGTAACGGCATTTGACTCAGCATAGATGTTGAATGTCCTTCCGACCTCGACTTTATCGTTCTCACGGTCGTTTGTTCTGACATCCATTGTGATAGGTTTCGTTTTTTTCTCGGTACAATATTACCCCCCAACCGAACGTCCACTGATACACTTCTTGTGACACGCTCGCGGTTGTATGTAGCTCCTCAGACAGTTGTTCGGATATGACCGGTCATCGTCATCGTACAGCGAGGTACAGTGAAAAGTATATATATTTACCACCGGCTTGTAGACGAGCATGGTGCCAACGCAACAACAATAATTACAATAACAATGAAAGGCGACAGGTAGACTGGAGTACAGAACAGGGTGAAAAGGGGGTGAAACACTTGAACACGGGAAAATGAAAGATATCTGGAATAACAAAAAGTTTGTGTGCGTTTCGCTGTACACCTTTTGATATTTTTTTTGTGTTTGTTGTTTTTCTTTTTACGGGACACGGGATTTCGACAGGCAGACCGTACAGCATTCGCGCCACTGACTTCTATTCTGGGCC